ATGAAATGAAAACCAAATCTGAGTATGGATCCCAGATCATTTCATGTAGACTCACCCTCTCCAACTGATCCCAACTCTTGCTACTTATCTGTGAACATCTTTAAATGTGGAAGAGAGACATTTGTCTTGTTTATACCATTGTTATTTTGGTTCCTGTCATTCTCAGCCGAATGCAGTATTAACTGATACAAAGAGTAAAGAAAATGTAATGATAAATTAAACTGCTTCAGGTCTAAAGTTAGCTTTAAAATAACAAGTAGTTCCTACTGTAGTTTCTCTCATTTTCTCCTTCAAAATGCCTATGAAAAACAGAAAAAGATGAAATTTGCAACACTAGAAACCAATTTATTTGAAAAGATTTCCTAATAATTCCTTCCTTTGTCTATTCACATGTTCAACAAATATTTTTTATTTTTAATTAATTTTTAAAATTAATTAATTAATTTGTCTGTACCAGGTCCTAGTTGCAGGATGTGGGATCTAGTTCCCTGACCAGGGATCGAACCTGGGTCCCCTGCATTGGAAGCACGGGGTCTTAACCACTGGATCACCAGGGAAATCCCAACAAATATTTTTAAAAATAACTATTATGCATCAGATTCTACACTCAGGGAGTATAATGGTGAACAAAGAAATTCCCTGCCATGATGGGGCTTCTGTTCCAGTGGGAGGAGACAGACTATAAACCAGATAAACAAAGAACTGTGTCAGACTGTTTTGTATATGAAAAAAAGCAAAACAAAACAAACACAAAGTGAGGGAGTAGAAAGTGATAGATGGGGTGGTCAGGGAAGGCTTTTGGAGGAGATAGCATCTGAGCAGACAACTCAATGAAGTGAAGGTCAGAGTCTTGATGACATCTGGAGGAAGAGCATTCAAGGCAGAGGACGCAACACATGCACAGGCTCTGAGGCAGGAACAGGCCTGGCACACGCCAGGAGCACCGAGAAGAAATGCGGCTGGAAATAGAGTAAACGGGGAAAAGAAGTGGCAGGAAATGATGCCTGAGAGCTGGTCAAGGGGCACATAATGTAGGATGAATTAGTAGGAGGTCACATTTAACTGAACAAAAAACATACATCATGGTCCATTATAGATTCAATGTAATCCCTATCAAGCCACCAATGGTATTTTTCACAGAACTATTACAAATAATTTCACAATTTGTATGGAAATACAAAAAACCTCGAATAGCCAAAGCAATCTTGAGAAAGAAGAATGGAACTGGAGGAATCAACCTGCCTGACTTTAGTCTATACTACAAAGCAATAGTCATCAAGAGAGTATGGTACTGGCACAAAGACAAAAATACAGATGAATGGAACAAAATAGAAAGCCCGGAGATAAATTCAGGCACCTATGGACACCTTATCTTTGACAAAGGAGGCAAGAATATACAATGGAGAAAAGACAATCTCTTTAACAAGTGGTGCTGGGGAAACTGGCCAACCACTTGTAAAAGAATGAAACTAGAACACTTTCTAACACTATACACAAAAATAAACTCAAAATGCATTAAAGATCTAAATGTAAGACCAGAAACTATAAAGCTCCTAGAAGAAAACATAAGCAAAACACTGACATAAATCACAGTGGAATCCTCTATGACCCACCTCCCAGAATAATGGAAATAAAAGCAAAAATAAACAAATGGGGCCTAATTAAACTTAAAAGGTTTTGCACAATGAAGGAAACTATAAGCAAGATGAAAAGACAGCCTTCAGAATTGGAGAAAATAATAGCAAATGAAGCAACTAACAAAGAATTAATCTCAAAAATATATAAGCAGCTCATGCAGCTCAATTCCAGAAAAATAAATGACCCAATCAAAAAATGGGCCAAAGAACTAAACAGACATTTTTCCAAAGAAGACATACAGATGGCTAACAAACACATGAAAAGATGCTCAACATCACTCATTATCAGAGAAATGCAAATCAAAACCACAATGAGGTAACATCTCATGCCAGTCAGAATGGCTGCTATCAAAGTCTACAAACAATAAATGCTGGAGAGAGTGTGGAGAAAAGGGAACCCTCTTACACTGTTGGTGGGAGTGCAAACTAGTACAGCCGCTATGGAGAACAGTGTGGAGATTCCTTAAAAAATTGGAAATAAAACTGCCATATGACCCAGCAATCCCACTGCTGGGCATACACACTGAAGAAACCAGAATTGAAAGAGACATATGCACCCCAATGTTCATCGCAGCACTGTTTATAATAGCCAGGACATGGAAGCAACTTAGATGCCCATTGGCAGATGAATGGATAAGAAAGCTGTGGTACATATACATAATGGAATATTAGTCAGCTATTAAAAAGAACACATTTGAATCAGTTCTAATGAGGTGGATGAAACTGGAGACTCTTATACAGGATGAAGTAAGTCAGAAAGAAAAACACCAATGCAGTATATTAACACATATATATGGAATTTGGAAAGATGGTATTGATGACCCTATATGTGAGACAGCAAAAGAGACACAGATATAAAGAACAGACTTTTGGGCTCTGTGAGAGAAGGTGAGGGTGGGATGATTTGAGAGAATAGCATTGAAATATGTATATTACCATATGTGAAGTAGATCACCAGTCCAAGTTCAATGCATGAAACAGGGCACTCAAAACTGGTGGACTGGGACAACCCTGAAGGATGGGATGTGGAGGGAATGGGAGGGGGTTCAGGATGGGGGACACATGTACACCCATAGCTGATTCATGTCATTGTATGACAAAAACCACCACAATATTGTAAAGTAATTAGCCTCCAATTAAAAAAAAAAGTAAGTGGGAAGACCTCTTTTCCCACTTACAACTATTACTATGCTGGGTTCAAAGTCATAACATGTATCCCCATCAGAGAACTAGGCAGCCCACCCTCTGCTGTCTGAGTGTTTCCCACCACAATGCCTTTCTCTATACAGTCAGAGGCGGACACCTCCAGAGAGCATATAATCTCACTTTATCCTTTGACAGGGCACTAATGGAGCTGAGTACACTGGCATTGCACAGTGAATTAAAGTGCTGTAGTTTGTACAGAGATGGAAGAACCCCAGATGCAGTGGATGCTATAACTTTTATGATGCAATTTTATGGTGAGAGTTTGAGCACCAGGCAGTGACAGCAGAAGAAAAATGCTGTCTCTGAAATATAGTAAACTTCATACAGGAATTAATTTCAAACCATATAGTTGTTTAAATAATGGAATTACTTGGATTTATCTTCTATTTTCTTCTTTATTTCCTTTCAAGAGTGTTATGCAAATAAATGTTGTTGTTTAGTCGCTAAGTCACATCTGACTGCTTTGTGAACCCAAGGACTGTAGTCTTCCAGGCTCCTCTGCCCGTGGGATTTCTAAGGCAAGAATACTGGAGTGGGTTGCCACTTTCTTCTCCAGGGGATCTTCCTGACCCAGGGATTGAACCTGAGTCTCCTGCATTGGCAGGCAAATTCTTTACCACTGAGCCACCAGGGAAGACTTATGCAAATAAGGCCAGTTTACAAAAAAGTCTGACATAGCTTTCTTCACATGCCAAGCTGGCCTAAATGCATTCTGTGGATTGTCTACCAAGAGTCAACAGGTAAATTATAAGCATTTAAGAAAATGAACAAGGATGGCTTGAAATAGACCTATGCCAGGGCATATTTGGCTAGAGGGCCTATTTTAGAAGAAGAATTTAGGAATCACATTGCTTTACAAGCATGACTCATGTTGTTAGTAATATTTCAAGACAAGCCACTTAAAATACTGAGTGCTAATACTGAAAATGATCTTGTCTTCCACATGCTTTCAAGTGTCTTCATTTAAGTGTATATAATTGTGCCTACATTTAACAAGTGTCTATATTTGAACTCTACAAGGTATAGCATTGTGATTAAGAGAACAAATTCTGTATCAGACCTGGATTAAAAATCTTAATCTCCACCATTTTCTTGGGTAAGTGTTTTAGCCAGTTTCCTTATTTGATAAGTGGAGATGATTTCTGTATTAAGGGTAACAGTAAGAATTACACTAGTTAATGTACAAAGTGCCAAGCATGTCATATGTCACATGGTAAGACTCATTAAATTGTAGTTATTATTAATCCACCTGCTGGTGCAGGAGACACAAGAAACATGAGTTCACTTCCTGGTTCAAGAAGATCCCAGGGAGTAGGAACTGGCAGCCCACTCCAGTCTTCTTCTTGGAAAATTCCATGGACAGAGGAGTCTGTCCCATTACAGTCCACAGAGCTGCAAAGAGTCCGACACCACTGAGAACTGAGCATGCACATGCACACACACATATATATTATAGTGACAGTCATTCCTAGGAGAAACTGCTAGGGATGAAACTTGTTCACTGAGTAAAAACACAGGCAACCAATAGCACAGATTTGTTCTTCTCCTTTATAACTGCTTACCTGTCTAAGAACTGGGACCTCAGCTCACTGCACACTGTCACAGAAATCACCCATCAATGTATCAAATAAATCAGTCTAAAAACTCCAGGTGTACCTTCCCGTAAGGACCCAGTCTGTTGAACCGGAAAGCTTAAAGGCGTGACAATTACCCTTCGACCCACACTCCCCGATCGGTCACCTGCTCATTTAAATAGTGCGTCCCTTCGGGTGTCACTTGATAAAAATTTCCCTGAGCGCTCCCTGAAGATTCGCCAGAGGCGGCTGGAAGCTCCAGTTCTCACCTGCCCCGGTGTCCGCGGCGCCGGGCGAGCCACCTTGGTCTGGAGCCCAGGGAGAGCTCAGCGCCGTGTGGGTGGGGTGTCCCCCAAACCTCGTTTCGGAGGTCTCTGCTGGCTGCGGTGGGCAGAGGCTGCGCTGGGCGCCGGGGAGCGGAGGGACCGACACCTGCCAGACGCCTCTCATCCCCGCAGGGCGCCACACCCGCCGCGTGCGACTGGGGAATAAGTGAGTGCCCGGCGCGCAGGGGAAGCTCCGGCTCGGGCTGCGCGCCGCGGGGCCGCCAGTTTGCGCGCAGGACCCCGGCGACCGCGCGGCCATGGGCGCACCGCGGGACATCGGCACCTTCGTGGTGTGGGACTACGTAGTGTTCGCTGGGATGCTGCTCATCTCGGCGGTCATCGGCATCTACTACGCCTTCGCGGGGGGCGGCCAGCAGACTTCCAAGGACTTCTTGATGGGCGGCCGCAGGATGACGGCCGTGCCCGTGGCCTTGTCCCTCACCGCAAGCTTCATGTCTGCCGTCACCGTCCTGGGCACGCCGTCCGAGGTCTATCGTTTTGGGGCCATATTCAGCATCTTTGCCATCACCTACTTCCTCGTGGTGGTCCTCAGCGCGGAGGTCTTCCTCCCCGTGTTCTACAAACTGGGCATTACCAGCACCTACGAGGTAAAAGGTCAGGGGGTCACGGGGAGAGGTGATGGGGGGGAGAGGAGGACTTTTCAGGCTCCCGGAGGAATTTTCCTGGGGGCAGACTCACCTCCACATCGAAATCTATCCCTGGTCGAAATCCATCACTTCTGCTGCACTCCCCTTTCCGGGAGAGGTGTTATGTAAAGGAGGGGGGGGGGGGTAAATCTTGGGAGTTAACTTTCATGAGCTCGAAGGAAAAGAGGCTTCTGAAGTAAACGGAGTTATTTCGACTAGTGTTCACTAAGGCGATTTCTGCTTTAACGTCTCTGATTCCAAGTCAAGGGGAAAGATTTTTAAACTTATCCTGGGGGAGGGTCCGTCTTTCAAGTCTCAGCTCCTCCTCCTTGAAATGAATCCCCTCATTCCAGGCCCTCGGGCTCCATTTACTTTTCCAGGATAGCAGGAAAGTGTGTGTACTCTCCCCTGCCTTCCACCCAGGGGCAGGTACCCAAATGGTTAAGATTCTTAATCTCTTAGCCCAGCACCTGCATTTGAGACGGGATTCTCCACTTACTAGCTGGAGAACCTGTACTGACATTTAAGCGATTGTGCCTCTTTCTTAATCTCAAAATGGAAATAATTATACCACCTACCTCAACTGGTTGTTGGGAGGATTAGATGAGATGATGCAAGGATAGCGTTTAGAATAGTGTCTGGCACAGGGTAAGTGCTGAATAAATGTTGACCCTAAATATTGGGGTGATGATGGTAGAGGTGGTTCCATTGGGATCACTAGGAGAATTTGGCCACAAGTTTCCTCATCAGCTCTGCCTTCTCCCTCTGTGGAGAGATGATTCAGGAAACCGGCTTTCCAATTGCACAGGTCCACTGAGTGTGGATTCTCTCAAGCTGTCTGCCGGAAAGGGCTCTGCAAGGTAGTGTGAACGTTTGGTTTAGTTTAAAGAGCTGTTGAGTGGGAGCGTCCAGGGAGAATAAAAGTTCAGGGGAGGGGTCAGGCCTAGTTGGCTGAGCTCCGTGGACAAAGCTGCAGAAGTATTCGATTCCAGAGGAAGCCGAGCCTCTCAGCAGCCACCTTGTCCTTGAGTTTATGGAATGTTTGCCCCATCCAGTCACTCAGCGAGGCTGCTTCAGCTGGTGCTGGGGAAGGGCCCTAATGGCACAAGTGTTGGTGGCAGACTGCCTGGGCTCCAGTGACGTCATTCAGGGCGAGGTGCCCCTGGGGTCGCGTTGCCTTCTTTGCACTCTGGTCATTGTATTTGAGAGTGTTTAGTCATCACCCCAGAAGTGAGCAGGATACAGTCTGTTTTGCTCAAAAGTGACAAACTGATCGCCCCAGGCCAAACTCAGTCTTAAGTCTTTTTGGTTGTAGTTGATCCTCATAATGCTTTGAAAAAAGTGAAGGTCGCTCAGTCATGTCTGACTCTTTGCTACCCCATGGACTATACAGTCCATGGAATTCTCCAGGCCAGAATACTGGAGTGGGTAGCCTTTGCCTTCTCCGGGGGATCTTCCCAACCCAGGGATAGAACCCAGGTCTCCCACATTGCAGGCGGGTTCTTTACCAGCTGAGCCACAAGGGAAAAGCTGATTTAGCATTTAATGATGATGATGAGAAGTCAAGTAAAATTCCGGATTCTGGCTTCTTTTGAAACTTAAGAGACTACTGACTCAGGGCTCACATTCCCTGTGGTGACAGGAACTTCAGTTCACGGCCGCTGCTCTAATTCACGATTAATTTCTGCATTGAGGCCTCTTCGCTGTATCTGCATGGTTACTTTCTTATCATAGAAAAATCTATCTGCATTTAAGTTTTTATCAAACATACAAAAGAGAAGATAGAAAGGTGTAGAAGGAGTTCTTCTTTGGAGGGGCATGTCATAGAACATATTTCTTAGTGGATATGAAGAATATTTCAAGCTGGTTAATTATGAGTGCCTGGTCAAGTAACTTATGTATTTCACCTGATGAGATCTGCAGGCATTTTGAGTCTGTGAGCTCTGATCTGTAGTTAAACAACTCCGAAACCCAGAAGGGGTTTGAAGAACCTGGCATGAGGATTTCAGTCACCGTAGATGACTGCTCCTCTCATAGTCACTGACCCGTACCTCTCCAGGGCAGCAATAGTAACTCAACCGGAAACACATTTCCAACACATCTGCAGTGGTGGAGGCTAAGTTAGCAAGGCTCCAGCTAAAAATGGCAAAAAGCTAACATTTGCTCAGTACAGGCTGGGTACTGGGTTGCCTGTTTTACATACATTTTCTGTCTCAATACTCAAAATAATCCTTATGCTGTGAGAGCCCCATTTTGCAAGCAAAGAGAACCGGAGTGAACTGAGTTACACAAGAGAGCCTGAAGCAGAGTGGATGCATGCTGAGAGCTTCTGCAGTGGTGCACACCGGCTGCCTCTGAAGGCTTCTGTGAGTGCCGTAACCCTGAGCGGAGCTTAGAAGGGCTAAGGCAAAGGGGACGTGGTGTAGAACATAGGGGCTGTGGGCACACGGGGTGTCCATGACTAGTGGATGCCAGGCCGTGGGGGACAGAGAAGTTAGGCTTCATGCTATGTCTCTGGCAGTTGGTCATGGAAAACTCTTTCACGTGGTATATTTTGTTTGTTTTCTGTGGAGAGCTGGAGTTAACTCTGCAGAATAAGAGGTCCAGCATTGAGAACCCTGGCATTCTTATACAAGTATGAAATTTCTCCATAGATTCCATTTGTTAGCTATGGTACAATACAATGGGTCTTCGCTAGTGGCTTAGATAGAAAAGAATCAGCCTGCAATGCAGGAGACCCGGGTTCCATCCCTGGGTCAGGAAGATGTGCTGGAGAAGGGAATGGCAGCCAACTCCAGTATTCTTGCCTGAAGAATTCCATGTACAGAGTTGCCTGGTGGGCTACAGTCCATGGGATTGCAAAGAGTTGGACACAACTGAGCGACTAATACACACATACACACACACACACACACACACACACAATACAATAGGCTATTCAGAAGCATTTGTGATGTCTATCACTGCTTTCAAGGTATAGTCCTGAGAGGTGTTTAACAACTTCCAGACCCACAGAAAAGAAATATCGTGCAGGAACCCAACTGCATTCCCTATTTCTTCAGGATCTTTCTGGATTCAACAAAATCTAAGTGTTTCAACTACATTGCCCTTACTCTCTCTCTCTCTTTTTTAAAAACAAAATTCAATAAGAGTCTTAGTGTCCCTACATTATTCAAAGTACCAAGAACCATGAGAGATCTTGGCTGACGATAGGTGATATCAAACCAAACTTGGGTCCACTTGCCCATATACAGGAAAGCCGATTTACTGACTCTGGGTTGTGGTGAAAGAAACTGCAGCTTTTATTATTAGTCTGGGGCAGATGATTATCAAAAACTCAGACCCTGATGGCTTTTAGGGAAGCATTTTTAAAGGCAAGGTGAGGACGGGCAGTCGCTGACTATGTGATAACCTTGGGCACAGTTCTCTGGTGGGTTTATAGTGAGGTAACCAGGCAGTGTTACAGGGGTGGACATTATCAATCCTCAGGCTTCAGTGGGTATGGGGGCTTCAGTTAATTAGCTTCTTCCATTTGGTGGAGGTTTTAGCATCCGTAAAGCAACTGGGGAAATGCACATCAGATACTGTTATCTTGGTACTTCCGGACGGAACTTCTGTGACTGCTATGGGCCGATTTTCTGTTTAAATTGTTACCAGTTCTTCTGGCCCAAGTGCTGCTTTTGTCACTATGTATTCAACATCTTTTCAATCATTAATTGTTGGGCCAGACTTCTGTAACTCAGGGAGGCCTGGGAGACTACAGCTTTCCCCTAAACAAGAGGCAGGGTGAGGACATGGGGGCAGGACTCTGTCCCGGGAAGGCCCCATCGGTCCCGCTTGGCTACACAGATGCCTACTGTTACTCTGTAGTTTTGTCAAGAAATCCTAGAGCTACTCTCTGAGCCTACAGATCCGTGACTTGGTCGTTAAGTATTTCTTTAGCAGCCCAGTAGCTGAGGTGGACAAAGAACGTCTCTGCCACTGCCGTAAACAAAGAATATTGTGGCCACAAAGCCATCAGCCACTGCAGCGGCCATCCGTGGTGCACCCTGAGAGAGTGGAGACAAATAGGATACTGGCCCTAGATAGCGAAGATGTATGTGAAAGGAAGGATTTCAGTAAGCTCAGGCTCTTGCATCTTTCCATACACAGAAAAGGACTGAAATCATTAACTTGAGATGTCTGGTTTTTTGTGATTAACAGTAATCTTTTGATGTTCAACTACATATTCTTCCCTTGCCCCCTATTAAATACTCCTCTATATCCTGGCTCCTCCCTTGTCTCTTTGGGACAGTTCCTTAGAGCTATCTGAGAGGCTGCCATCCTGGGCTATCATCCTCAGTAAGGCCTCAGAATAAAGCATAATTCTCAGCTTCTACGTTGTGCACTTTTTTCACTCGACACTGAGATGGTCAGTGACATTCCATGTCACTGACATGGTCATGATGCTGAATTCTTGGTTCTGTCTTGAGTTAGTCTTGTGTGAGGAAAAATGTATACATATATTTTGTTAAACCTGCTACATTCTTACCTCCATCACATTTTCCTCCTAGTTTTTTTTTTTAATCTCCACCAATTTGGATATACATACCTAGAAAAGGCAAAGATTTCTCTGTCAATTCATGTACATTTATTTTTAATAGGGTTTTACTAAAACAACTTAGAAGAAATAACAGTGCTCTGTTTTCATGCTTCAAAACACCTCTTGGGCTTTCTAAAAAGCCTTTCAAAATATAGTTGGATAATTTTAACACACGTAATTTACTAAGATTCAAATTCTCAAGGCCTGTGGCTTTGGTTACCGGCTTCTTAATGTCTTAGATTTAAGTGAATGGTTTACGACATTTCCCCGTCCATTTGCATCATTTGATGGGCTCCAAAATCCTGCAGAGTAAGAGAGGAAAGAAGTATTACTATGATCCACATTTTCAGGAGGAGGAAATTGAGACTCTGAGTGCCCCAAGCTTGTGGAGTCAAGAGTGCGGCTGGAACAGAGGCTGGAACTCTTGCCCAGCACACTCACTGAAGAGTACGGTGTGTTTTTACTTATCAGTTATCTTATGAGGGCCTCCCGTGTCAGCGCCACTCACTCGCTCTGGATGACTCCTAGACACATGGGCAGTTTACTTGCTGTTTTGGACAACATAATGGTTATGTACACAGAGTTTGACATCAAATGGTCCCAAATTTGCATTGTCTTTAACAATTATTAGGTTGCAATCTTGGTTTTCTCTCTGTACCCAGTGTCCTGGTTTCTAATATTCATTTTGTATAGTAACCACCTCATGGACTTGGCTGTGAGGACAAGACATGCAGCAAATACATTATAAATGTTATCTGTAAATATGAAGCTAAAATATCTAGTGTCTTTTCCTCTGATATTTATCTAATATCAGTTTTTCCTTCCTTCTTTTTTTCTTCTATATGTGAAAAGACTACTGTTAGCCTTAAAATTCTCTGTATATTGTAGTAATACTATTCAAGTTAAAGAATATCTTGGACCCGAGCTTCCTCCCTCATAGCTCAGTGGGTAAAGAATCTGCCTGCAGTGCAGGAGACCTGGGATTGATCCCCAGGTTGGGAAGATCACCTGGAGAAGGAAATGGCAACCTACTCCAGTATTCTTGCCTGGAGAATCCCATGGACAGAGGAGCCCAGCGGGCTAAGTCCATGGGGTCACAAGAGTCGGACACGACTTAGTGACAAAACCATGGACCCCAGTTCCTTTCAGCTTTAAAGTCCTAGGATTCCAACTTTGTGACACATTATTATATATAACATGGAAGATAGGCACACTACTGACCTACCTCAGAGATATGGCAGGTTTGGTTCCAGACCGCCACGATAAAGTGAATATTGCAATAAAGGGAGTTGCATGATTTTTTCTTTCTCAGTGCATATAAAAGTTATGTTTACTCTATGCCTTAGTCTATTATGTGTACAATGGCTCTTTGTCTAAAAAACAATGTATATACCATAATTAAAAAATACTTTATTGCTAAAAAAATGCTAACCATCATCTGAGCCTTCAGTGAGTCACAAGCGTTTTGCAATAGCAACATCAAAGATCACCGATCACAGATCACTGTAACAAATATAACAATAATGAAAAAGCTTGAAATATTGGGAGAATTACCAAAGTGTGAAACAGAGACATGAAGTGAGCAAAGGCTGTTGGAAAAATGATGCCAATAGACTTGCTTCATGGAAGGTTGCCAGAAATCTTCCATTTGTAAAAAATGCAGTGTCTGTGAAGAACAATAAGAAGAAGTGCTATAAAATGAGGTATGCCTCTATATTATAAGCTATTGCAGATGTCAGGGTTGGCTCTGAATAGAAAAATGGACTTAGGCTGATTTAAGTTAAAACGTTTTATTGTGAGGATGTGGGCATAACTCACAGAACAGGAGGAAAAGCTGAGCAAACAGACTATGAAAAGGAACAGAAGCCAGGGCAGCCTCTTCAGGCCACGCTGTCAGGATCAGTCTGCATTCTGCTTCAGTCATTTTCTGTCTTTATATCTTGCCTCTAAGATTCACCTCCTGAGAAGACAAAATGGCTGGCTGGACGTAGGTCATGTGACTGCCTTTTAGCCCAGGCAAGGCACCTTGATTGACAGTTCTGCCACAGTTGCCAGAAGTGGGAAAGGGTTGATTCCTTAAGTGTAGCAGGGGAAATTTATTGGGTAGGTACCACGAGAAGGGGAGGACAACACTTTGTTCGCTCTAAAAATGCAGAAAATAATTGCATTGGTATGACATTCTGCACAAGGCAAAACTTGTAGGGATGGAGAATGGGTCAGCGATTGCCGAGGTTTAGGGATGGAAAGAGGGTTTGACTACAAAGGAGCAACATGGAGGACTTTTCTGGGGGTGATGAAACTGTTCTGTGTTAAAGCCATTGAACTGGGACTTAACCCAGCAGTCTGGCGGTTAAGACTCCGCACACCCAATGCAGGGCACAGGCTGCATCCCTGATCGGGGAACTAAGATGCCACATGCTGCACAGTGTGGCCAAAAACAGACAAACAAGCAAACAAAAAAGTCTGAACTGTACTCTAAAACAAGGGTCAGTTTTACTATATGTAACTTAAAATGCTAATTTAAATAATTTGTACACCTATGGCTGTACATATGTACATAGGTAACATATGTACACCTGTGGCTGATTCATGTTGAAATTTGACAGAAAACAACAAAATTCTGTAAAGCAATTATCCTTCAATTAAAAAATAACTTTTGAAATAAAATATTAATTTAAATAACAATATTCAAATAATTTAAATTAAAATATGAATAGTGAAATAGAAATGCAGGGTAAAAATTAGTTATGAAGTTTCTTTAAAGTTTTAGCTTCTTTGCTTCTTAAGCTGCTGGTTTTTAAAAAGTGTCCAGAAGTTTTACATATTAACCATTTTTCCTTTTTTTGGAAACAGTATTTAGAACTTCGATTTAACAAATGGGTTCGTCTCTGTGGAACAGTCCTCTTCATTGTTCAAACAGTAAGTAGCCATCAGTTCATTTATTTTATCTTCTTTTCATCTAGAGTGTTTTTTAAACAAGGCACGTGGGTCAAGCTTCTTTGATAAATACATGAAAGAAAAGAGGTTGAACATAGGAGGAAACACAAAAGGAAAAACATCTGTCAGTACATAGCATTAATCCTTAAGATCATTAAACGCTGTCTCAGCAAATGCGTTATTCCCTGAAAAAACAGTGAGTTAAGTGAACACTGAATATTGTATTGAACGAGCAGCAGTCATGGTTAGGAAAATATGCTTTTCCCTCTTATGTCTCCCTCTGTCCCTTCCAAAGTGACAGTAAGGGCATGGCTTAGACAACAAAGATATTTGAAGGAACTGTACTAGCTGATAGTAGGAATTATAATAAAGGGAAAACAAGATGTATATTTCATAGTATTTTTGCAGCATGTTAAGTAATAGATTTAATAGAAAAAAATTAGCTGACATAGTAAGAAGAACATTTGAAAATAATTTTCCTTGAAAGCACACTTTAAAAAAATGAATCAGTGAACTCTTTCAGAAATTGAACTGTAAAACCTAATTGATATACTCAGTATAAAGCAGCAATATCATGCTCTCAGGAGGAGTTTTTTAAAGCCAAGTGCGCAATCCCATGGGCTTCCCAGGTTGCTCAGTGGTAAAAAGTCTGCCTGCCAAACAGGAGACTCAGGTTCAGTCCCTGAGCTGGGAAGATTCCCTGGAGAAGGAAATGGCAGCACACGCCAGTACTCTTGCCTAGCAAGTCCCATGGACAGAGGAGCCTGGTGGGCTACAGTCCACGGGGTCAGAAAAAACAACAACCCCCCCCCCCCTGCCCAATCCAGTACTTCAAAAATATGCAAGTATAGATTTACTGATTGGCACAAATCAAATCAAAGATTTACCAAGTCATCAGTGACAGAGATTGCTTCCCACCCATCATCTTGTCATGACCATTGTCACATAATTTAGACCTATCTCCCTCTTGACAGCTAAGTCTTTCATGAATGAGTTTGATAATGGAGGTTGAGGAGGGAGTTTTCATTCTCATCCCTATTTATAATTCCATTTCTCCAGTCAAAAGCTACCCAAGCATTTGCTACAGCAAGACAGAGTGCCTTTGTAAATTATTTAACTTAGCTTCATTTTTTATCTTTGCTAGCTATGTAGCTTAAATTGTATTTGCCCTTAACACTTGCAGTATGGGAGAAAAGACCCCTCTGGGGTCTGGTAGAGATTCTGACCCAGAGCTGAGCCTGGTAGCTTGTATTCCACAATGGAGTTCAGTCCCTCTTTGGATCATCATTAGAAGTGCCAACAGAAATGTAAGAGTGGGGACAAATGTTAAGAAGATGGCTGGGTGACATTTTCAAATCTTTAACTTGGATGATATAATGACTGTGGAAAGCCAGTGCATTCCTGAAAAGGAAGGGAAGCTTTCGAATCCACTGTTTGAAGGACTTACTTCTATACATCTACTCATGCAATGTAATCAAACATTCAAATACTGAATGTTTTTTTCATAGTATATTTTATAGCGTAATCATAGAATTTCTGCTAAGTCGCTTCAGTTGTGTCCAACTCTGTGATCCCATAGATGGCAGCCCACCAGGCTCCCCCGTCCCTGGGATTCTCCAGGCATGAACACTGGAGTGGGTTGCCATTTCCTTCTCCAATGCATGAAAGTGAAAAGTGAAAGTGAAGCCGCTCAGTCGTGTCCGACTCTTCAAGACCCCATGGACTGCAGCCCACCAGGCTCCTCTGTCCTTGGGATTTTCCAGGCAAGAGTACTGGAGTGGGGTGCCGTTGCCTTCTCCGAAGTTGTGTCTGATTCTGTTGCAGTTCCATGGAACTGTAGCCGGCCAAGCTCCTCTGTCCACAGAACTTCCCAGGCAAGAATACTGGAGTGAGTAGTCACTTCCTACTCCAGCAGTGAAAATACGTAATTAATGACAAGTAGATAAACCACTGATCAGAAAAACTGAGGAGGGCCACTCCCATTACCATTCGATATTGAAGTGCTGCCTAAAGATATTTTATAAAGTAAAAAGTGTTTGAAGTTTAATTTTACAAAAATTGACACCATTAAAACCAACATGATTATTTGCTACTCATCCAATCACTGAGGTAACAATATTATAAAAATATGTAAAAAAATTCTAGTTTCATAATTACCAGATATGCTAATTCCCATATAGCTAGTATAAATTTGATTATTAAAAAAATAGTTTTGCTTCCTTAAAAGCACTTGGTTCATTTATCATTTAATATCAGATAGGTATTTGCTATCTTGAAGTACCAAAAAAGTTACAAATAAAAATGGCAATGTCTATACTCCGGGTTTCTTGTTGGGCGTATTCTGAAGACTAAACTTTGGAATTTCACCAGAAGGAGCATATGGAATTCTCTTTGGAGACACCTTCTTGCCAATTGTTTCAATCTGGAAGCCAATGGTTTGTAGTTCATTGTAGAGCCCAAAGAATTAGCCTGTATGTATTTGAAAGATCAGATGCAATGAAAATGATATTTTGAGAAAAAGAGCATATTTATCTTACTGTTGTACCCCAGATTAATAAATATTTGTTAAGTGTATGAATGAAAAATAATAATATTAAAAAGATAGAGTAGAATTTTTGTTGGCCCTCAGGAAATTTTAGGGCAAATTTACACTTTTGTTTAATTAGTGGTCATGCCAGCTTTTGCAAACAAGTTTCCAAAATTTTCACTGCTTTCCCACTTACATCTGCAGGGATTGACAAAAGTTTGAAAGCATATGAACAAGCATTACCCTTTTTAATCTGTACCCTTTCTTTCTTCCAAATTGTTCCAGATCTAGGAAAATTGGTTTCAAACTTGAATTGATGGATTAGTGACTATCTGCACTAAGCACTGCATGAAAAGTCCACATTTTTACATAAAATTGGCCGTAAAAGGTTTTTGTAACCTATGACCATACCCCAAATAGAAAAGGAGAGTCAACTTCACTTAAATAACGTTTTCAAGTTACAAGCAAATTTTGTTAAAGTGTATTGAAACTATGGTTTTTAATTCATAAGTAAATTTATAGAAAAATATCAGTATTTCATTTTGTAATTCATACTATTTATTTCTTTTTTCCTCTAGATTCTGTATACTGGAATTGTTATTTATGCCCCTGCCCTGGCTTTGAATCAAGGTACATTTTGGAGTTAATATGTCACTTACACTTGGAGGTTCACTTTTAACAGACTTTATTCTGTCTTTGGGGAGATGGGGAGGCGGAGGAATGCTTCCAATAACCTGCATCAGCTTGAGGCGGATCTAGTGGGGTCAGTGTCTACACTAGCAGCTTCTCTGGGTTCCTGAATCATAGCTCAGAAAGGTCTGTAAATTAGTGGAAGGTTAGAACACTGGGGGCTTCCCTGGTGACTGAGTGGTAAAGAACATGCCTGCCAATGCAGGAGATAAGGGTTCAATCCCTTGGTCGGAAAGATCCCCTGGAGAAGGAAATGGCAACCCACTTCAGTATTCTTGCTAGGAAAATCCCATGGACAGAGGAGCCTGGCAGACTACCACCCATGGGGTTGCAAGCATCAGACATGTCTTAGCGGCTAAACAACAACAACAGGCTTCATTGGGCTGTGTTTCTCTGGGATGTGCCAACCAGCCATTCTCCATTCCTTCAGAATGACCGCCCTCTGTAGTCCAAATCATGAGTGGGCTGCTCTTGCTCCCTTTGTGTTTGTAAGCTGGAGCCCATCTCCAACAGTTCAGTTCAGTTCAATAGCTCAGTCGTGTCCGACTCTTTGCAACCCCATGGACTGCAGCACGCCAGGCCTCCCTGTTCATCACCAACTCCCGGAGTTTACTCAAACTCATGTCCATTAGGTCAGTGAGCCATCCAACCAGCTTGTCCTCTGTTGTCCCCTTCTCCTCCTGCCTTCAATCTTTCCCAGCATCAGGGTCTTTCCAAATGAGTCAGTTTTTCGCATCAGGTGGCCAGACTATTGGAGTTTCAGCTTCTGCATCAGTCCTTCCAATGAATATTCAGGACTGATTTCCTTTAGGATGGACTGGTTGGATCTCCATGCAGTCCAAGGGACTCTCAAGAGTCTTCTCCAACACCACAGTTCAAAAGCACCAATTCTTTGGCGCTCAGCTTTCTTTATAGTCCAACTCTCACATCCATATATGACCACTGGAAAAACCAGCTTTGACTAGACAGACCTTTGTTGGCAAAGTAATGTCTCTGCTTTTTAATATGCTGTCTAGGTTGGTCATAATTTTTCTTCCAAGGAGTAAGCGTCTTTTAATTTTGGAAAAGACGCTTACTCCTTGGAAGAAGTTATCTCCAATAGGTTTCTGCGTTATTCAGTGCAGGCTTTGTCCCATTGTAAAATTGGGCAGGAGGAGAAATTCTTTTTCTTCCCACTTCGGATGTGATCTAAAATACAACAAAAAGAGGTCTGTGTGATTTGAAATATTAGATCGTTCCTGACCAAAGGACAGATGGCTATAGTATCCTTATAAATAAATATGTGACAATTTTATGGATCAACAAGTTACTCTCTAGAGTTGGGAAGATAATAGCTGTGAAAGTAGGATTATTTATTGAGGCAAAGAAGTGAATTATTCATACCCTCAAAAGGCTTCAGGGAAACTACATACTTTAAATTCTTATCAGTTAGAAGCAAATTTATCTCTGTAGCTTCCTTTTAAAATGGACAAGTGGAGTCTGTGATGGGAAGAATGTGACGCAGTTCCTCAAATTAATATAAAATCAAAAACCTTAAAGAAAACAAGAGAAAACCCCTTCTAACTCCAGATTCTAATTCTTGATTTCATGATACATAGATAATAGTTGTCATCTATATTTATAAAGCACAGCAGTATCATTACAAAGAAGAAATCCATTATACAATGTGATGTTGAATTCTGAATGTCAGGCTTGTTTCTTGTAAATATTACCAACAACATGAATGAATCACTTCGTATGTAAAGAGCTGAGCTATAAACTTCATAAGTTACCTATTGGAGTTAAGTATAACTGAAATATTGGCTTTAGAGTTTTAAAGTGCAGTTCTGGGAATAAGAAAGCTCTACCTTCAGTGCTTCAAGGACTGTTCTTATCAGTTTATTGAGCCACTCCCTGGGAGTAAATTAGGATTCGAGGCATCACATTTTGACCACGTTAATATCAGCCATGTATTTTACCGTGGGCTTCCCGAGTGGCTCAGTGGGTAAAGAATCGCCTGCAATGCCGAAGACACAGGAGATGCCAGTTCAATCCCTGGATCAGGAAGATCCCCTGGAGGAGGGCACGGAAACCCACTCCAGTATTCTTGCCTGGAGAATCCCATGGATGGAGAAGCCTGATGGGTTACAGTCTGTAGAGACACAGAGTTGGACCTGACTAAAGCAACTGAGCATGCATGCATTTTACTGTAACAAAGCAGTAAGCACAGACACGCAGAGAGTACTTGGTGTGCGACAGATGCGCCACAGAAACCTTTTCAGCTGAATTGGAACTTAACATTCTCTATGTGCAGTCTTTTTAATCTTTTTTTTTAAATTACAGAAAACTTCAATCATATGCTAAAATAGAATAGTGTAGTAAATGCTAACATACCATTAACTCTACGCTAATGATTATCAACTCTTGATTTATTTCACTCCCTATTTCCATCACTAGATTATTTTGCTGAAAATCTGAGATATTTTATCATTTCATCTGAATTCCATATGTCTTTTACATACTTTTTTCATTGAGGTATAATTGACATATAACATTATGTTAGTTGCAGGTTTACCATAATGATTCAGTATTTGTATATTGCAATGGTCACCACAATAGATCTAGTTAACATACATCATCATGGTGGTGATGGTTTGGTTGCTAAGTCGTGTCCAACACTTTTGCAACCCCTTGGACTGTAGCCTGCCAGGCAACCCTCTCCAGTATTCTTGCCTGGGAAATCCCATGGGCAGAGGGTTGCCATTTCTTTCTCTAGGGATCAAACCCAGAGATCAAACCCAGGTCTCCTGCATTGGCAGGCAGATTCTTTACCTCTGAGCCATCAGGGAAGCCCTGTTAAATGCAATACATAAACTGAATATAATTTGAAAATATCCACAATTCCTAAATTTTGGGGGTAGATTTTAAGGGACATTATAGGATTGTAATTGTTTCACTGGTGGCTCAGATGGTAAAGAATCTGCCTGCACAGCTGGAGACCTGGGTTTGATCTCTGGGTTCCATCCTAGAGTGGGAAGTGGCAACCCTTGCCAGTGTTCTTGCTTGGAGAAGCCCATGGACTGAGGAACCTGGCGGGCTACAGTCCATGGGGTCGCAAAGAGTCAGACACCTCTGAGTGACTAACACTTTGACTTTTTTCAGCTAGAATGTGTACTCTTCAGAATAAAGACCGAGTTTGGTACAGAGGCACCTGTAAAAGACCCAAGATAATGAAACGAAGGACACTGAGCAGATAGATGGTTCTACCCTTCGTAATTATGAGATTAACACTTCCTCTTCAGATACTAAGCTCACCAACTTACCTTTTGATCAGAATTTGGCTTCCCACATTGACATGCTAATCAGTAGGAAGTTATGTGATCATGAACTAACAATTACAACAAGCCTGCTTATGACCCCTGTTTCTCATATTGTATATTAGTAAACTTTGATGCTATTTTATAGCAATGCTTTATAGTTCACTAGTCAGCATGACTTCCCCCCTATAACTCATTCATCTTTGCATTTATAAATCTACAAAGTGAAAAGCCAAATTCTGGGAATGTAAAGATAGCATTAAGGTATAGATATACCTGGCCAAGGAGCATCTCTCTCTCTTTTTAAAATATTCAAATGCCATTAACGCATAGGATTGAGATTCAAGAAGGATTTTTTAAAATTCATGGCAGTTGTTCTTCAGTGGCTAAGTCATGTTCAATTCTTTGCAGCCCTGTGGACTGCAATACACCAGACTTCCCTGTCCTTCACTTTATCCTGGAGTTTGCTCAAACTCATGGCCATTGAGTCAGTGATGCTAGCTAACCATCTCATCCTCTGCTACCCCCTTCTCCTCCTGCCCACAGTCTTTCCCAGCATCAGGGTCTTTCCCAATGAGTCAGTTCTTCACATCAGGTGGCCAAGGTATTGGAGCTTCAGCTTCAGCGTCAGTCGTTCCAATAAATAGTCAGGGTTGATTGCCTTTAGAGCTTGCATCACATATTTTTTTTTTTAACTGCATCTTTTGTTTGTTCATTTATTTGCTACACCACACAGCTTGTGGGATCTTAGTTCCCCAACCAGGGATTGAACTTGGGCCCTCAGCAGTGAGAGTGTAGAGTTCTAACCACTGGACCACCAGGGAATTCCCTGCATCACATATTCAATTATCTTTCCTTTAACTTTATGAGGACCAAGTAAGTTATTTGGTTCTTCAACCTTGTTTTTTGTTTTTGTTTTCTAAATAGCTTTTATAGAATCTAGTTTTTCTTTAGGCCTGTGGAGAAAATTGTCTAAAATAAAATGACATTTCTAGCCTATAGTTTGAAGGACTGTGCTTACAAAAGAAACAAGATCATATCCAGTGACATGTTAGATAATTTACATTCAGATATCCTGGATTTAAAAGGAGCATTGAAAAAGTGATAGCAGGTAGAAACATAGCTATCAGCAGATAAAGAAATTTTTATTTAACAGTGAACACTGCTTCTGTGATAAAAACATGAGGTAGAATAAAATTATGTAAAATATCATTGCCCTTCAGATTTTCAGCTCATTTTCATAAATGTCTAGAAAATGCATATAGTGTTAGAGATGATTTGAGAAGAACAGGAAGAATTAGAAGAGAATTTTGAAAAGCTACTCTGGAGGTTATTTGGTTGATTTATTATTATCATATTTATTCCTAAATGCCCAGTCATGATAATAGGAACTAGATTCCTACATATACAAAACTAAAATGATTGAGAAAAAACCCACAATTCCACTTAGTTAAATATTGATGAAAATAGCATGAGGTTTAAATATATGCAGAAGAAAATATACATCATTATGTTAACAGTGACCACATCTGAGCAGTCAATTTTCTGATGCCTTTTTCCTCACATTGAATGTAAAATTACTCTTTGGGATATGCACTGCTCATAGTTATGAAATTTTTTTCTTATGATGAGAGCTTTTAAGAT